GGGGGACAGCTGTAAGTATGTGAAAAGAGGGAATTGCAGTGGAAAGCCGGAAAGTAGCATCTGCCCATTTTTTCCAGGTTTAGATATTGGGCCCGTAAGTCTACTCTTGCCTCCAAAGTGTTAATTCTGTCCATTACCTTAAAACATATATTTGCTGAGAGAGCACTTTCCTGTTAAAAGACATTGATGGGAATTGTTTCCTGGACTGGTGAATTTGATCAACACATACTTGCCTGCAGTGAATGGGAGCTCTTCTACTGTAAACCACATGAGGTCTGCCATTAAGAAGATGTGATGTACTTTTTGTCTTTTATATCCACACTTTTTGTTGAATGGAAAAGCATTCAAACCAGTCTGCAATTTAAAGTAACATAGTCCAGTTACAGGTCCACCAGTTAAATATCCTAAAAAGGCAAGTTGAGACAAACAGTCGAGTTGTCAAGTTGAACACGTATCTGCTTAATTGCCTAGAAAATTCATGGGGTTGTTTTTTACAATTCATATGCTAAGGTGATATGGTAAAGCAGTTTAAGTTACTTAATCATGTTAAAACATTTTATTGTAAAATACTTTTTATGGAAGTTCATTTTTGAAAATAAATGCTGTAGGAAGTGTTAGCTAATATGGTTTCCACTGTTAACCTGTACATCATGAAGTATGTCTTCAAGGCGTAATTCTCAAGGAGATAGGAACTTTTTCTTTACTATAAAGCAGTAATAGATTTTATAATGGATATGTTTACTTGTAAGCCCACTATGAGATTTGTAGACTATTAAAAACAAATATACAAAGACATACAATTTTATGAGTAACAGCCCATTATTTCAGATAGATAAAATGATTCATATGTTATCTGGCACTTGGCAAATTAAATCTGGCAGTTTATTTACATTCAGACAGCACTTGTGCACTTACATGTATTGCTTGTCTGTTCTAGATGGACAAAAGAGGAAGAAATCATTGAGAAAGAAACTGGATTCCCTCGGAAAGGAAAAAAACAAAGATAAAGGTATTATAAAATGTATGAATCTACATAAACTGAGAGATGGAATATGGCTTACTTATTATATAGTTAATTTGCATGTATAATTCTGATCATAGTCTCTTTCTCTCACACATCATTTACTGCAGCTTTCTCCAACTTGGCATCTGTTTTAACTAATTGGCATATCATCCATAATTCTGTGATCATTGATTTGGAATTCTTAGAGTTGTAATCCAACTTTTCTAAAGGGTATGAGAATTTAGAAGATTAATTTATAGGATATATATTAGCAATAAAGTTCCTTTGTGATTTTTTTTTTTAAAATACAGCCTCCAAAATGAATATTAACATAAAGCGGGTCATGCTAGCTTTACCAGTAAATATTAATTATTTGTACATTTGTCCAGCTTTTAAAAATAGAGTAAGGTTCCCAGGCTGGTTCTTCATCCTAACATGCCCTTTGATTAAAAAAACAAAAAAATATTAAAAAATATAAACCATGAATAGACTATTCCTAAAAAAATGATACTCTAAATATGTTTAGAAAAACTGTATCAATAGAATATTATGTATTACAGTTATATTTGGTCATTTCCAGAATGAAGTATGACTACTTCAGATTTTGGAAAAGTTCACTGTATTCTTATTTCTAATTTAGTTAAACTGAGAAATGAACATGCTTACCTATCCATAGTGTAACTGCTTGGCCACAGAGTTATAGAAGAGAAACTGTTTTGTCAAGTTATAGGAACTTTCTTAAAGCAGAATGGGTAGTTTGTGAGAGATGTAAAAAGTCTTACTGACCTGAATATGATCTGGTATATACAGTGTAGCAATTATGTATTTTTAAAAATGATTACAGGTTATATCAGTGCATTCCAAAAATATATATTAAATTTCAATAATCTCGCTCTCTGTCTCTGTCTATCATTCTCTAAATAAAATTAACTCTACACTGTATTTAAAATTTAACTATAGAAAAACCTGTTATAGGCTTGTTTTTGGATGGTTCATGCATAAGCAGGAAATACAGGTCTGTTAACTTTTAAGTGTTTTCTGTAAGGTTGGTGGACTGATGATAAGTGATATACAGCATTTACTTTTATTTCTGACTCCTTTAAGGGCTGCAGAGACTCTTTTTTTTTCCTTCCCTCTAAATTGCTTTCACTTTCACGATCTCTTTACACAGGATTTTCTTAGCCCACCAGCTCATGTTATAGGAATGTTGTTTCTTTCTTAGAGTTTCCATATGGATAAGATACTTGGAAGTAAACTTCACCTTTTTTTCCTGGAATATAAACTGTTTCTCCTTTGCCTGCACATAGCTCTCTGCTCTTGGCTGACTCTGCTTCTCTTTTTTGTCAGTCCTGTGATGATTCACTGTGCTCCTGGCTGTCCCATTTCATTCTCTTCCTGGGCATATATCTTTTCTTCTTTAGATGAACTTATATGCTCTAGGCAAAAATACCCCAGCTCCATCCATGACATGCTCCATACTCCAGCACCATCAGCAATAACCACATTCCAGCCTCAGCTGTCTTGCCTCCAGCCATTTCTTCTACTTCCTATGAGTTCTATTTATTAGTTAGCAGCTGGCAAGTAGGGTGAGAACATATAAAGATTCTCATTTCTTCTAGAATAAATTGAATGTAGTGAAGAGAGAAGAACTTGTATTGTTCAGAAGCTTTTCTTTTTTGTGAAAACCAGGCAGAATTTAAAAAAACAACAACATTGTGCTTCTCTGTATACATGCATGTAAAGGATGAGTTCACATTTTCCAGCATCCTTTATGTGAACTTCCCTCTACAGCCTCATTACAAGTAGACAAGTAATTAAGAATTTTCAGATCCAGGTTTTCTCTTCATCTCTCATCTAATGTAATCTCATGCTACGTTGCAAACACACCAGGACTCTTTTCTTCTTAGAATAAAATGGGATGATACTATTCTATGCAATACATCACTTCCTGAAGGTCTTTTCAGCCATAGTTTTTATTGGAAGACTTCTGGGTAAAAGTGATCAAGTCAAATGAAACTTGTAAGATAGCTTTGCTTTTTTCCTTATAGCTACCTCCAGTGATATGGACAATATTTAATGAAATTCTTCATGGTAGATAACCATGATTTACTTGTGCAGGTTTTCTGTTCAATGCATGTTATTTTGACATTCACCATAATTTATTTAAGATTGATATTTATATTAAGCTCCAAAGGCAACTATTGTGGACAATTGCAAGGCACTTTAAATGGGGCTACTCTTGAAGAATGCTCAGAAGCTGCATTTGGTCCAGAATGGGGCAGTGTGGGCAGTTATGTGTAGGTTTTGTTATGCCCAGGTAACACTTCTGCTGTGTGAGCTGCATTGGTTACCATTAAGTTTATGGGTGCAATTCAAGGAGATAGTCCTATCATCTGCCTCCCTTGGCTTCTGCCCATTCTAGATAAATCTAGAAAGTGTCCCTTCTTCTCAAATTATATGCCCTCTGGAGTAGTACCCTTGCAGAGACTGCCTATCTGCCAGCCTTTAAATGAGCATTGAAAACTTTGCTATTACTCCAGGCCTTGGGCTAATTTAACTTAGACATTGTATGGGATTAAACAATAAAAGAGGATTTGTATTGTTACCTCTGGATGACTCTCATATTTCTTGATACCGTGATGTATATTCAATTTATAATTTTGGAGTTGGGCAGCTCTAGAAATATTTTTATAAAAAATTGACAATAATATATAGATGCAACGACATTAAAGACAAAATCATGAAGTCATACTTTACAGAGAGAAAACTAGTTTACAGCAGCAGTGGCAGGATCAGCCAAAATAGGATCATCACAGAGTAAACTGTTTATATTACTATACCCCTCCATCAGCAGCAGTTCATTTCACATTGAAAACTGCCTTGAAATTGAGTACACATGGACAACTATTTGAACTTGTGCTTTTCCTTAGATTTTTCCCTTGAGAACCTTTAAAATACACAACTTGCCTAACATCTCTTGTACAAAATGTACCCTTTTGCTTTGATAAGCAATCCTGGAGGGGTTTCTGGAGAAAACATGCTTTTAGTGAAACTGTTGGTGTATACCTTATGTGAGAGCTAAACTTGAAGAAACTTGAAAAATTGATTGCGTTCCAAACAGATTATACCTTCCTTTTTCTTTGTGAGGTTTCTTCTTTGTACATTACATATTACGCCTTGGCAATTAAATAAATCTCTGAGTATTGTTCCTCTCACTGAGAATATGAATACACTGCAGTGACTTGATTCTTGGTCAACCCACTCTGTCCCAAATAACATTCATAGCCAATTGTTGACCCCCTATCCTTTTCCTTTATGTTTAACAATGAGTTGAAAAATGCTCATACAGTTGTGGGTTTTAATAAGCATTTCAGAAGTTTATTTTATACAGTGAATGCCTTCCTTTGCCAGGCAACTTGTCCAAAACAAATATTCTGCTCTGTATGGCACAGCACATGTAGGCGTCCTAGCACAAACGTGTTTTGAGCGTTCTCGTTCGCAGCGTCTCTCCTAATGCTGCTTTGCTGTGAGCATGATTTGCAGCTGTCTTGCTTATATACAGAGCCTCTGGTTCAAATGTTGTGCATTAGTAAGATGTAAAAAATAGACCTAAAGAAGAAAGGGATTGGAGGATTTTTAGATCATGTTTCATATGACTTACTGTATTAGGATTTTGTGCAGATAATTTTTAAGGTATCACAAGACTCATCTGTTGACTCATCTTGCAAGCTATTTTTATTTCTTCAATCTAGAAAGTTTTTTTAGAAGTTCTGTTCAGGTGATATCTTCACATGTAGGCCTCAGTCAGTGGCCTAGTGTCTGTATGTGAAATACAGTTGTCTGCATTGAGGATCCTTTGTGTGTGTACAAAGGCTTCCTAGTGCGGATAATTGCATTGTGTATGTGGATGACCAGATGTTCACTGACATCAGACCATAATGTAGAAAGAAAAGAGGCTGCTCGCATATTAAGTTTTACATGCAAATGTATTGCTGGAATAGGGCTTTGGCAAATAAAAATTGGAGCTACTGCTAGCTTATGGTTGTTTGTTGTTTTATGTAAACTTAGAATCTCCAGATATTTGAGCACATGCCTGTGCTGGCCCTGTTGCTCACACTGTATTTGTCTTGATAACTTGAGATTTTATTCACTTCTAATACTTTACTATTTGTTTTATATTGTTGCTTTTCACTTGAACAAAAGATGATCCCTCCTTCTCTTAGCAATAAGAGAATTTTACTGCTTCAGGCACATTGAGAGCATGTTAACCAATTGATTAAAATTAGATATATCCCAAACAAATATTTATATAGATAGCCTTTTTTTGAGCTGTTCAATCAATCAATCATTGATTGATTTTCGAGCTGCTGTTGTATCTGAATTCTGTGTCAGAGGAATCAAGAAACAAACTGTTTAAAAGTGTTAGGAAATCTGTATAGTTGCACATCTACATTTAGGCACCTGCTGGTCAATTCAAAGATTCTCTAAATGAACAGAAGCTGACACAATATGATATAAGGTTAAATTTAACATCTTTCTGCATACATGAATATTTATTATTTGCCTGCAAATCTTTATAGATTTAAAATAATAAAACAATGAAAATGGCAGGTGTAAAAGTTTGGGCACCATATAACTTGGTGTTTGTAACACTTTCTTTGGCAGAAGTAACAATTTCCCATCATTTTTTGAAGCTGGCTAATACTCTTTTTATTCTTCCTTTTGGGATTTTTTCCCCCACTTTTCTTACAGAATTCTTAGATCTCCTTACATGCACTTCAAGTTTAAGATCTCCATAGAGTTTTCAATAATAATAAAATCTAGGGACATTGAGACCATTTCCAAAGTATTTATTCTTACATCATGGTTAGTTTGAAGATATGTTTCAGATCTTTGACTCACTGAAATATCCAACCTCTTTTTAGCTTCAAGTTCTCATTGATTCAACATTAGTTTCTAGGATATGTTGATTTATAGTTGAATCCATTCTTCCTTCCAGCCACACAATGCTTCCTCAGTCACTGGCAGCCACACAATCCCAAAGTGTAATAGACCTACTCCTATGCTTAATAGTTTTTCCTGACAGCTCTCTGGTGCAGATCATAGTGATTTTAGTATCAGCTAAAGGTTTCTTAACAATATTTCCCAAAATTTAAATTTGCTAGATTTCCCCTGGTTTGTAAAAGTGAATTATCTTCATTTTCAAATACAAGACATCTCATGAGACAGAACTATAATCACAAGCTGATAAGTTAGAAGGATCAGAATATTTGTTCACCCGTGGAATTATCTTCAAATGCCTAAATGTAGGCCTAATGATTCAAACACCTTTCAGGGCCTTATTAACAATTTTATAGTAAAAAACAAAAAGTACTGAATCAAATAAGTTGTGTCCAGAATAATCAGTTTTCTAATTTTGAATCTGGGAACAACTGCAGTTAAGTATGCATTCAGATTTTCAGAAATAATACTGGTTTACCTTTATATCATACAGATGTTGTGTCAGCTTATGCTCACTTAGGGATTCATTGAAACATACAATTAGACCTGGGTCCCTTAACTTTTGCACGCAACTGTACGTATTCATTTTGCCTGCTATGAATTACATGTGGGAAATCATCAGAGCCAGAAAAGGGAACCTGTGAGATAACAAGCATAAAGTTGGAACAATTAACCACTTAATATGTTGAGGGAAGAGGCAATTAAGAAGAGTTTTCTTAATCTCTAAGATAATAAACCAGGCTATTTAAATAATACATCACTATCTATTCTGAGATACATTTTGTATGCCACAGTGTGCATTGAGATAGAAGCAAAAGGACTGATCTACATGAAGTGGTCACAAGCTGAAAGTAATTATTAACTTGACATCCAGATATGGAAAATAAGATAAAAAATGACTAAGTAAATGAAATATTATGGAAAATGAATTGAAACTATTCCTTGCCTATTATATTTGTCATCTTTATAATCATAATCGAATACATTTTCCCAGCACTGCTGGTAGTCACAAATATTTCAAGAAATATATAGTACTTCAATTTATTTAACCAAATGATTCATATCTTTGCTTCCTTTTGCCAGTAAAATAACATCAGTAGTTAAATAAATAGTGACATTTATAAAGGTCACTCTAAACAATATAATAAAACTACAGTTTAAATACATTATACTTAACCCTGTTTTGAGATTTTTGACAAAACTGTGCTCTGGATAATTGAAGGGATAGAGTCCTAGAACCTAAATAAGTAGGGATATGAAAAACATTTCGAATTTCAAACACTGAGAGCTTTAAATACTTTGTTTCAAACTTTGAAACCATTGCATCAGGCTTGAAACAGGTACTTGCAACCTCACTAATAATGTTCTGGTGTTAGTCCAGTCATTTCAGAAGTGTTCCAAGTTCAAAATGGATCTGTTCTGAATTCAGGGTAGGTATTTTGGGGTTGAAATGAACTGTTTCAAGCTTGGAATGATTCCTGAAAGTTGAAACAGCTTTGGAACATTGGAATATTTCAGGCATAAAACATTTCCAATTCAGAAGATTTTGCACACCACTGTGAATAACCTTTTCATTAATTCATTTGGTGATTCAATCTAGGAAGACAAGACAAATTTCATTACCAGATGTGAGAGAAACAAAAACACAACCTAACAGCAGGCCAACTACTGTAGCTGATATTAGAACAATTGCTATTATATATATTATATATTTTATATACATTTCATGGATATTAATTAGTGACATTTAAGTCTTTGTCATTCACAGCTGAGTAAAGGATTATACATTTGGAGTTTTGGAAATAAACCCAGTTTTTATATGCACACAAAGTATACACTGAATTGTTATTTAGGGTCTAATATCTCTGAAATAAGTCTGTAATAGCCTTATAGGTGGGGGGAGACCACCTCCCACCTGTAAGGAGGTAGTCATCACCTCCCTTAACCATTGGACCAGTCTTGTCTTGAGCAATTTAATTAACCTTAATAGGCAAGGCTCAAGTAAGCAAGTGGTATATGTACAGTCTGTGAAGAATCCAAAAGAACAGGACAATGAAATGTTGAGGTTAGATTCCCATGGCCTGCAAGTTGAGGTGGATGCAATTGATTTTATCCATGAAGAACTATGTAATTCTCTCAATGAATCACTGTTTCGGGTTCCATCCTACATACACACAAATTATTTTGGTAATGAAAATGCTACATAGCTACATAGCTATGTGAACACAGTGGAGATAGAGAAGCAAGCACTCTTCACTCCTGTGGAAACGAGGCCTTCAAGAGGACTTCAAATCTGTCGTGATTTGTAAGTCCTCCCAGCTGTCTTTCCATCTATTTCATTATTCTCAATTCCCTAGTAAACAAAAGGGATGATTTGGCTTTGCGATGAGAGAATTATCATCTCCAGGCTGTCTGTGTATTTCACAGATGAAGCAGAGCTTTGACAGTAATACTGACAAAAACAGAAGGAAATTGCTCACGTGCATTCAAGGCATCAGTGTGGATCTAACAAGCTGTTGGGATAGAATATGTTTATTAGTCTTAAGATTGTGCATAGTAATTCCCACTCGAAAACTGACAAAGGAGTGATCTATCCATGACAATGCTATCCACTGAGCTTCCCCACCTTCAGATCGTCAGCTGTAATTGAGTGTAATACGAGATTCTGCAAGTGATTTATAACGTGTTAAAGTTGGAACTGGTCTATGATAGTTATGGAAGTTGTATTCCTTTTCTGACTAGGTAGCTTTAGCATGAGAGTTAACAAGATGTGTCTGAGACAAAGAACCAATGGCATGCCTGAGAACCAGCTAGCTCTGGAAGAGAGACTATTGAACAGTAGGTTGGACCATACACTGGCCCTATTCTTATGCTGTCCCAGGCACCTAAACAAGGGAACACAGACACTCAAAATTGGCAAAGACTGTCAGGTACAGCATCCTTTACCATGGCCAATCTTTTTCACCTTCCAATCTGAGCCTGCTGTAACAGGCAGGCAGAGTTGAAAAGACACTCCTCTTCTTTTATCCAGGTATCCTTGGTTTAATTTCAGATCAGTGCTTTTACTGGGATTAAATCTGGATAATCATTGTTTTACCAGCAGCTAACTTGGTATTAAAGAGCACAACACTGAGAGCCAGTTTGGTCTAGTGGTTAAGGTGCTGCCCTAGAATCCAGGGGAAAGTGAGTTCTAGTCCCGCCTTAGGCATGAAAGCTGGCTGGGTGACTTTGGGCCAGTCACTCTCTTTCAGTCCAACTCACTTCACAGAGTTGTGGGGGAAAAAAGGAGGAGGAAGGAATATTACATATGTTCACTGCCTTGAGTTATTTATAAAATAATAAATGCAGGATAAAAATCTAATAACTAACACTTAGGTTGTAGGAACCATTAGCACTATCACCTTAATTCTTTAGTTTGATTGCAACTCAAAGGAAGGGAATTCAACCAGTGGCATGCCATTCCTTCATTGTTCTCTTCATTGTTTTCAAACTTCATTGTTTTCATGCTATTTCCCACAATACCCTCATTCTCTGATAAAACATAGATTCTACTGGAATGTAACGAATTAGTATAGCAAAATAGGAATGTTTAAAGTAAATTAAAAACTGAAGTGATTTGTTCCAATATAAATTCCCTTTCTACTTTGAAAGGACAAGCAGATAATTCCCTTGATTGTTCTAGCATTGTAACTATCTAATTTGTCAATGTAATTTCTATGAATCCTCTAGTATCTGCTATTTTACTATACCTGATGGCATGCTAGAATTCCTTACCTCATTCCATTGCTGATCATTTCCAAGAAAAGGTGCACTGCTGTGAATAAATATTCAATTTTTCATTTATTACAGACCCAGATATGTTCTTCTCCCATGTTTACTTTCTTCTTGTTCTATGTTAATATAAAGTATTTTTATTGTTTATGTTTAACTTATTCCAATAATAATTCCACTAGAGATGTTAGCATCCAACTGCGTATATAGATGAGAGAAGATAGTCTCTTAGTGAATATAAAATGGATGTTCCTCATTTCTTGGAAATTATATTGTTTCAAGTACTCTTTGTTCCATACTTTGCTGCTCTAAACTTTCTTTTAGGCACAGTGAGGATTAGTCCCTTTTATAATAACATTGTGACTACATTACTTCAGTATTAGTCAAAAGAAATCTAAACCATGGTCTAAAAATATATATTCACAAGTTATTAACATTTGATGGACCATTGAATTTGTGTTCAAGTTTCTTGCTGTGAATTCTGGATAGAAACTGTTTTCTTACTGATTGTTATGGCAGACATTAACCCATGATTTTACGTGGCTTCCATTTCTCTATTCCGTTGGCTTTTTAAAAACAATTTTTTGAAAAACCCTGTAAGTTCTGAAATTGCTAAAAGTAAACTTAACAGTAAAACTTTGTTGTTTATTTTTCTGTGCTTTTTAATCTTTTTTTACTCCAAACCCTAGCCTTATTCTCCTTTAATAATTGCTAAGAACCACAGGAATCGCAATCCAGTATACTGTATTTAAAAAGCATCAGTTGGGAAGGCTGACTTTTCACTAAGCAACTAATGTTAAAACCTGGGCGCTCACAAAATCTTTTGCCTGAGGATTTATTGAATCCATTTTCAAAAATTAGCCTTTGAAACATTAAAGTCTTGTTTGTTTTTCAGAATTCATACCCCAGGCTTTTGGAATGCCTTTATCACAAGTAATAGCCAATGATCGGGCATACAAACTGAAGCAAGATATTCATAGAGAAGAGCAGAGAGATGTTTCAGAATTTGTAACATCACTTTTACCTTTTGGGAGTAAAAGACAGAACAAAGAACTTTCAAGCAGTAATTCATCTCTTAGTTCCACCTCAGAAACACCAAATGAATCTACTTCACCCAATACACCAGAACCAGCCCCACGGGCACGGAGAAGGGTAAGTTCCTATTCATTGCTTAATAGTTACTGCAAGTATTTGAGACCTTCCTAGCTGTTGATTTGCTTACTGAAGCTGGAGTCTCTGATTTGTTAGTCTATAGTTAAATTAAAGACAGCCCTGATAAAATGATAGAAATTATGGTTTTAATGGTCATCTGTCTTTCCCAGCTGTTCGTGGGAGAGAACAAAATGGACACAAATCTCTTGCCAGCACCTCAGGGGACATAAGGATTCTTTGGAAACTTTCCTTTTCCCCAGTCAGTTTCCAGTTGGTCTTTCAAATTAGTAAAAAACAAACTCATCTCTCTGTTGTGCACTCGCTCTCTCTCTCTCTCTCTCAAACACACGCATGCACACACATTTCCCCACCTCATCTCAGTTTCAAATATGTTTATAGTAAAAAGATGGTTTACGTAGTTACAAGATTAATGTTCAGTCATTTAAAAACATTGGAAGCTGCCATATACTGAAGCAGTCACTGATGCATCTATTCTAGTATTGTCAACAAATAGGATCTTTCCAGAATTTGTTCATACTGGAATTTTTCCAGTCCTTCCTGTGACTTTTTCTTATTTGCAATGCATGTGCTATATCAGTGAATTCCAATATTCATATTGCATATTAAAAATTACTGATTCTATCCTAAAGGAATCTAAACATTCTTGTGAATTATCTGATAATCTTACCATCTTTTGAGTAAAGAGTGTTATTGTTTTAGTACTGGGAATCTGTTGGCACTAGTAATTTGAATTTTGGATTTTTTTTCCTAATGACTTTGTGTGTGTGTGTTATTTGTTATTTTAAAAAAGCAAAGTTTATTGCTTTAATCTACAGTTTCATCTTTCATTCTGCAACACAGGTAGTCCTCTATTTATGATGGCAATTGGGACTGGAATTTCATCACTAAGCAATGCTGTCATAAAGTTCTACGTCACATGACAGCATTGCTTAGCAACGCCAATCCCAGCATTCCCATTGCCATTGTTAACCAAATCCCACCAGTCGTTAAGTGAGGACCCACCCAATCCAAGCCATTCCCGGCTTGGTCCCTCCCAGCCCCAAACCTCGGTTCTTCCAAGGTAAGGGACTGCCTCGCCTTCAACTTCCCCCAACCGCCTATTCCTCTGCCCTTTTGGTCCTTTTTCGGGGTGAGTCCAAACTTCAAATTATTAGAGCCAACAGATTCCCAGTACTAAAACACACTCTTTACTCAAAAGATGATAAGGTTATCAGGTACTTCACGAGAATGTTTAGGTTCCTTTAGGATAGAATCGGTAATTTTAAATATGCAATTTGAGTATTGGAATTCACTGATACAGCACATGTGTTGCAAAGAAGAAAAATCACAGGATGGACTGGAAAAACTCCAAAAGCTGTAGCCGCCCCAGGAAGCCACAGCCACCCCTGGAAACCAGAGTCCGGTGCAAAGCCTCAGCCACTCTAGCCCAGCAGCATGGCATTAAGCCCCAGCCCCAGCCACCCTCGCCACCCTGCAGTCTACCGCCCCAACTGACCTTCACCATCTTCTTGCTCCTGCTGCTGATGAGGCGTGACCGGCCTGGCTCTTCAGGAGGCAGCTGCTGGCCACGCGAAGCCTCCTTTTCCAGGTCTTGTGAGGAAACTGTTGGCCATGCAAGGCCTTCTTCTCCAGGTCTCATGAGGAACCTGCTGCTCATGACCTCAGGAAGAAAGCCTTGCATGGCCAGTAGCTGCCTCACGAAGGGCCAGGCTGGGCAGGCTTGATCAGCAGAAGAAGCAAGAACATTGAGAAGGTCAGCTGGGGCTGCAGAGCGCAGGGCGGCAGGGGCCATGGAGTATGGGGAGCTAAAAGGGCAGAGATGGAGAGATAGGCGGGTGGGGGAAGTTGAAGTGCCCTGTGGTCATAAGTGCAGGCAGGCTGCCAAGCACCCAAATTTTGATTTTTTGCAACCACCATAACTTGAGGGACTGGCGTAAATTCCATTCATTCAGCACCACCATAACTTCAGTCACTGAACAAATGATTGTAATTTGAGAACTACTTGTAGTACAATTTTTTAAGCATGGATGGCAAAAGTACTGCTGAATACTGTAGCGAAGGAGTTTTTGCATAATTTCTTGTGATAATTGAGGGATGTAATAACTATAGGTCTAGCTCATATGGCTTTGAACTTGTAGAGATATGTATTTTAGGACCCATGTTCCCTTTAATAACACTCTATAAGAAATATTGCTCAGTTAGTTCCTTTTATAGATAGAGAGCTGCTTCATACTATATGTTATACTTTGTACCTCAGAAATCTTTCTGAATAAAAGTAAAGCTTCATTGTTTGATATATCAACTATATATACAGTGGTACCTCTACTTACGAACGCCCCTACTTATGAAATTTTTGAGATATGACCAGCTCTGGCCCCAAAAATTTACCTCTACTTACGAACTCACCTCTACTTACGAACTGGATCCGCACCCATTTTCCCTGCTGCCACGCAGTTGCAGCTTCCTGTGGGCGAGATCACGGTAGCAAGGACACATTCGGTGAGGCTTATGGTGTGTTTTGTGGCGTTTGGAAGGTTTTTTTGGCGTTTGGAAGGTTTTTGAGGTTTAAAAATAAAATGTATATGTTTCAGAACTATTTAGCCGTATTTACATTGAACCTTATGGGGGAAATTTACCTCGG